AATGAGCAATTGTCGCCCAATATCTTTACTTTATAGTATATCAACAATTCGTGGAAAAAATGTCTACAATAGGGTACATGATTAAAAACAAAATCTGGTTTAGGAAAAACCACTCGGCAGCTGGCTTTAGCTCTTGTACAAACATACGACAGAATTACCAGTGTAGTGGCAAAAAAAAACACGTATTAGGAATGTTATAAGACTATTGCAGAAGTTTGGCCAATATGACATCCTCTTTCACATTATGATACAATTCAAGTTACATGTTGCTATCAAATTTGGGGCACATTTGGGGCTCCCAACACTTTAAGGGGCTTTAATATTTGCGCTTATCTACAATTGGAAGTAAGGTAATCAGGAGCAAATAGTATTTCATGTATTAGGGAACTTTTGAATAATGATTTTCATATTCATGTGCTTCAGAATTGGCTACCATACAAAACAAAACTACAAGTTGATAATGGCTCTAGAACGCTGACTATTCTTGAATAAAGTTATTTTATATTTAACCAATACACCTAAGCGGATATTTTGTTCTCGTGCAGTTTCTGTTTAAATCTATGTTATAAGAGAGAGGGACAGGAAACAGGTACAGTTAAGTTTAGCCAGCTCACTTTATTCAAACCGTTCAAAATCAAATATACAAAGCCTTGAATACAAATACAAATGAAACTTTTTTGTTTGTTAATATGCCTCTAAATGCCAAGGCTAGATAATACGGACACCCAATACATTTACAAGTAAACATAATTATTAAAAAAAAATACAGTACATAAAGCATTACACACTAAACTACAGGAAAACAGAACGTAGAAAAAGTGAAAAAGTAAAGGGAGAAAGTGGGTGAGAGGGTGTGTGTGTGTGTGTGAGTGAGAGCCAGAGAGAGATAGGGAGAAAGAGAGAGAGAAGTGGCGGAGGGGGTGTGGGGGGGGGGGGGGTGGGTAATAAAGTCAATAGGAATGTACATATTTGTCTGGCTTTAAGCGTATCATTAAACGTTTGAATTCAGTTTTTAATCAAGTTATAGTTTAGCTAGAACTTATCAGGAGGGAGATTATTCATAATTATACGAGGACCCAACATATTTAAAGAATTAACGAGTTGACTGACTTTTTAAAAAAAGATAATGGAAATTAGAGTGATTTTCATTGAACTAATTTTTAAAATGATATTACATAGGTGGTAATTCATGTTTCTCATAATACATCAGTACCGCAATTTGGATTTTATGAATATCAAAATTTGTCAAGGTGTTTACTCGTGTACATATTGAGCGTGGCGAAGCTATATAAGGGGCTTTGAACACATGTGTAAAGCCCCTTTTTGCAATCTGAATACGGGGTCCAATTTTGTAATGCCAGAGCTTGCAAATGTAATGTTGCCGTAATATATATAAAGAAGTATAAAAGAGTATTATATAAAGAGGTGTTTTCTGTACGATTACTACGCAATTTATATAATATGCCTATGCAATTGAATATCTTATTACATACAAACATAATACACGGTGTTTTATTTATTTCATTTTATTTGAAAAGGGTAGCCCCATCAGTAGTTAAAATACTGTTATACTTGGGGGCTCTGCATAACATACATATACATATAAAGACATACATATACATGAAAACATCATTACATGGTGAATAGTAAACATGATATACCAGAAAGAATACACATTACATTTTAAATGTAAATTTAAACTCAGCAGGTAAACGAAAATCCAACGCAACACAAATTTGAAGAAGAAAATATATATATCGTAGTGACAAAATTATAGTTTCGTCACTTCAAATGGTCTGATGATTATTTTCCACAGTGATCAGTTTTCTATCACAGTTAAAATGTAAAACAAATGATTCACAACCAATATTCAATATTGAAATGCAGAAAATGTTGTAATTGTTGACTAGAATACGTATGTGAGAAGCATGTAAAGAGTTAGTTAAATTCTCCAGCAATTATATTAAATGTGACTTCTTTGGGCAGAATGATTATACAGCAGAATTCCCTGTGATAGGACACAGGATAGTAGCTGATTTGACTTTTTGTGACTGAAACGGTTAAAAGACATTGCAAGTCTGCTAATCATATTCACATGACCAATCAGGACCTCAATTGCAGATATCCATGAATCTTTAACAGTCCATGTACCCCAAGCGCAATTTCTTTAAAAATCCAAACTTACATTGTTGTCCATAATGCTGGAATTAATTTATCATACGTATTTTCTCGAAATGATTATGGCAATACGATCTATTCCTGATAGACACAGTTCTTCTTGGAAACAATATAGATCAATCTCTATGACTCTTAGATTGATTAATAGACTTCCGAGAAGATGTACATTTTATCACAGGAGGGCTCACGGTTATGTGTCTTTAACTCTGTTAAAAAACCCATTCGTAATCTTTTATAAAATGGTGCACCAATCGTCTCCTTTCCTGAAATGTGGAGACTGCCGGTTTTCCTCTACAACTGTTAGACAATGCAAAATAAAATCAAGGAATTCGATACTTCTTTCCACATCTTCCTCGTGGCTCTCCAGTGTGTAGTTGTCGAGGATACAAACACGATCTTTGGGTATTCCAATGGTATTGGCCATCTTTGTTTTAATGTTATCATCATCGTCATCCAGGTCACCTTTATCTGGTATCACCAGCACGATTCCTTTACCTGCAAGTTTGACAATTCAGGCAAATGTACAAAGATGTGATACATAATCTTAGATATGGAGGAAGTGGGGAGTATAATTGATAACACATTTAGCTGTGAAATCTTCGTCAAACCAATATGAGCCAATGGGGGCACCGGTCATTGCATATTAAAGGTATCTCCCAATAAACCAATACATCCCCACTTAAGTTAAACAAACAAATAAAACATACATTTTCAAAATCATATTGATATCCCCATGCCTTCCCCAGCCATCATCATAATTATATTGCCACCTTTTTCTTTTTTATTATCTAATCCCTTCCCCCTCAATAAAGGGCTTATCACTTTTTAGTTTTCTTTCCCATTCTAGATCGAGAAAGAAAAACATCCCCAAATCAAAAATGAATAAAACAATACTGCCCTCAGACCTCCCCCTTTCGTTCTTAAAGTATTAATGTCAATAGGCCGTCGCATCTTTGTGTGTATGATTTTTCTCATTACAAATTTGACAAAGTTGAATTTAAAACATAAACTAGAACAAAAATTGCAAAAGGTGGCAAAGGCAGACTTCAACCGGTTCATTGGAAAACTTGTTGTCTATTGTCTAAATGTTATTATTCAAATTTGATTCCTTAATCAAACCAACGACTCCCCCCCCCCCTCAAAAAACAACAACAAACAAACAAAGCTATTGAAAAAACATGAGATCTTCAAAGGACTAGTTTCAGTATTTCGTCAGTTTGGTTTGCGTATTTCCTCCCAATATAACATTTGTCATCATAACAATGAATTAACAACAACAACTACTACTACCATTACTACTACTGCTTCCACTACTACTACTATAACCAAAGAAGGAATCGGTCGGTTTGGCGGTGTGAATGTCGTATTAGTTCCTGCGTAATGCTATGGTCACATTACCCAAAAGTAGCCTGCTCGGCGGCCGAGCGGCGAGTTTTTAACCAATTCTGCCCGGCGGCTACCCAGCCACCGAGCGGCGGCCGCCCAGGTACCGCTCGTTTTTAGGGCATCGCTCGGTCGCCGCTGAAGTTTTAGCGCGGAGTTAAAATTTGGACGGCGCACGCTCACTTTTCACTCGCCGCCCAAAATACGCTCGGTGCCTGGGCGGTCGCCGCTCGGGCACCGACCTAATCGCTGGGCGATGCCTAAATTCCAGCAGCGACCGAGCAGGCTACTGATCGGTCGGTCGCTGCTCTGATTTGTGACCATAGCTTAAGACACTAACTTTGGACTCTGTGTAAGCGTTGCCTAATAAACTTAGTTTAAAATTCCATGTTGTAAGTTCGAGATTTTAGACGTTATTTGGCATGTGAAAATTAATCGTGTTCATTATTTTCAGATGATAATCTCTATGTCTTCAGAAGTAAAAATGTCAATGCAATGTGTAGAATCCTACCGAAGTAGCGGCACACGTCGTTGGACAACAACCTCATGAATTTCTCACGTTGTTCCTTATTATTCCTGGAATGAAAGAAATATTTGAATATACAATTGTGAAATCAGATATCAATCCCTTTCCTGGCATACCGTTAAAAATCGTTTGTTTGTTTGGTTTATACTAGAAGAAAAGTATTAAGGATATATTTCCCTGATTTTTTTTTATCTGCCAAGAATTCATGAAGGGCTGACCTTATGCAGAAAGTGCATGTCCTTGCACTGACCGGTTCTCGGACATGCAAGGACCGGCGTCGTATTGTGGTAAAATGTCCAGCTTACTAAAAAATGTTCAAGATTCACCAACATTTTAGTTGCTAACTGTAGACCCATCTCAATAATGGTTGATAATCTGGTTTGTTAAATTTTGAAAGTAGCAGTCATTGTATGCGTAGTTTCCGACAGTTAGCTGCATGCGAGCGTCACAGTACCCCTAATAACGGTCAGTGAAGAGAAACAGAGAGAGAGAGAGAGGAAGAAAGAGAAAACAAAGAGATAGAGGGGGAAAGACAGACAAAGGGAAAGAGTGAGAGAGAAAAAGAAAGAAAATAGATAGAGAAGAGAGAGGCAGAGACAATGGGAGAGAGAGACAGAAAGAGGGAGAAAAGGAGAAAATCAAGGATAAACGGAGAGAAAAAGAGAGAAAGAGAGAGAGAAAAAGAGAGAGAAAGAAAGAGAGAAACACGGAGAGAGAGAGAGAGAGAGAGAGAGAGCAGGAGAGAGAGAGAGAGAGAGAGATACTGGTAGGTGGCTTTATATGGCAGCGGCATTTTAGAGCAGATAGCATTTCACTCAAATTTGAACATTTTGAAAGAAAAATGAAAACAAACAAGTGAGCAAGCGAGATGCACTCTATCTATGCTTGATTTTAAGAAAAAAATGCGACGATATTTTTAGAGTCCTCACCTCGAATCACAGATGAAGATTGGGCAGTGAATCTTTATCGAGTGTCCCTCTGTAAAAAAAATTTTAAAGAATAAAAATTGAAAAATGATGACAAAATAAAATGGTGCATGCGTTACTGTGAGACCATTCTATAAAAGAACAAGACAGAAAAAAATGTATACATTGCAAGATACCCAAACTTAAGCTAGAGGAAATGTAACAGTTCATTATACTGTTGGTCATAAAGGTGGAATAATTATTTTTACCCCAATTTATGAAATGATTTTGACAATGATTTATTCCTAATAGCTCTAGCTAACAGTATACATTCTCATATGTTATTGAATAATAATTTGCGAGTGTTTGTTTTGCGTTCTACTTTGATAGCAATATAGAAAGATATCAGATAAAAAATTGTATGTAAAATTTAAAAAAGATTGACTCACTGATTTGAGAGAATATCTCCTTTATTTTGGTCGATTTGTACTTCTCTATTCCTTTGTAGTTCAACAAATGAATGTGATTGGTCAGTTCTATCTCCTCTATTGGTGGATCATTGTCTCCCTCCTTATGCGCTGTGGCCCTGTTATCCGCTTTACCCGGATAAGCTCCTATGTTCATCAACCAAAATGTAATATTATGTGTTATTAGGTTAGCGATGCAAGAGAATTTTGCAAGACTCTATTGTTATTCATATTCGTACGCATATTAGTATTCAAAACCAAATTCGTATGTTATTAATATTCATATTACTATATATATATTTATATTCACATTTATTTTCATATTAATGATAATATTCATATTCATATTGTTTTATTCGTGAAATATATGGACACATATGGAAACGTTGTATCATCTGCTCAATCTGACTTGCGTGCACAGAACAAATAAGCATTTTTCCATGAAAAAGTGAAGTTTTCTAAAATGTGCGTTTCTTTCCAGCATTGGGGCGCCCGGAAGTCATTCGGGTAACATTTCATAAAGTATAATATAAAAAGACCATATGCAAATTTTCTGTAATTTTGTCGGAAAAAATACATTTATCCAGCATAATGTCGTCTCTTTTTGCGTTGGAGAAGAGCAAATAGTGAGTTTCAATCACACTTTGGCCGCTCTCGCAAGCTCTCACTCGTTCCACTGTGGTCAAGAGACTTTGGGGCAAGCGGTTAATGAAAATACTAATCGTTAGCTTTCTTCTGGTATCAAACTTGTTTTGATTGATTGTATAATTTTGTCAGAATAAAGGAAACAAAAAGGCTCGACCAATAACTTATCAGCGTCTGAATTGACCTTTTGACCTTGAATTCCCTGATGCAAGCGCACTATGTCGTCATATTTGCTAAATCGGTGTCTTTTATCATGAAATGAGACACTTTCACAATGTTTATACATCTTTTTTTGTAATTATTAGTAAGATATAACATATTTTTTCTGATATTATTGAAGTTTTGGGTTTTATTTAATGAGTAATTTTAAAATAAGACCCATTTTACTGTTTTGATTTACTGGATCGTACCACTAAAGTCGCAGGGTAGAAAGATGCATTTTCCAACAGCGCCAAATTTAATTTACGTTCCGACATTCTGTTAAATGGTTTCGTGTTGTTACGAATCCACTGCTTTCTGCTCCAACAAACGTCCACATGCGGAATCGTTTATCAACTAAATCATTCAAATTTATGGATGTTTCCTAGCTTCCCAGGTGTTTGTGTTGCTGTTGAAGCATTTCATTCACCTGCTATCATTCTTTGTACTCCAATTGCCAGAACGTAAATTTCATTTTGGTTTTATATTTTCACCGGAGTCGTTTATCAACTATATGTATTCAAATGTATAAATGCTTCCTCCCCAGATGTTTGTGGTGTTTATGCATTTCAGTCACCTGTTATTATTCTTTGTACTCCAATTGTTAGAATACAAAATGCATTTTGGTATAGTTTCATGCAATAAGTAAGTCAATAAAAGAGTATGTTCTGCACAATAAAAACACTGTGTGTCCCAATTGTACAATGTAATGTGTCCCCTCATTTTGTAATAGTTAATTTACCCGTTCACATAATGGAACTGCCTGACCGATGAAGCCGGTGGCCTGTGACCCCTGAGCACTCAACACCGTGTGGGAGTCAGTTCGTGGTAAAATTCTTTTATGAGACAAATACAAGCAAACATTTCCATATGTAGCAATATTGCAATGTAGCATTCAGAAGCAACCCCTTCGCCTTAAGCAATCCGAACTAAATCACTTATATTGTTACCTGTAAGAGAAAAGATGAGTGAATTAATTAAGGATGACTTCCCAGCTTTTGGTAACCCGAACACTCCAAGATTGATGAGATTAATGCCCTTATTCGTTGTTGTTGGTCTATTTGGTGAATAGTTGTGTATTTCAGTCCTTTTCGTAAGTAATAATGGCCTCCTGTCAGGAGCTCTCTCTTCTGCCCCTCAAATACAAAAGACAGAAATGTGTGATATTGTTAAAATAAGCCCATGATATTTTTTAAAACTTAAGATCATATTTTTAATAAATCAAGATTTTGTCAGTATTGGAATAAGTAAAAAAAAAAAATAGATATATTTATTGATAATTTGATAAAACTGCATTTATTTTTAGAGTTTTGAAACAAAATATTTATAAGGCTATTGGCGAAGAGTTTACCGACTGTATGGTATACGTACATTACAATAGAAATACTCAAAATAGTAGCAGTATAAATACTAGAGGTACTATAAAATAGTAGAAGTTTTAATTATAGTAGTAGTAATAATAGTTTTAGCAGTAAAGTAACAGTATTAGAGGTATTATCAGGAGTAGTAATATTGGTAGTAGTAGAAGTAGAAGTAGTAAACCTTATATGATATATTGTATAACCCGGGCAAATATGCCTCTAGTTTAATTCATCTATCTTTTTTTCTTTTTTTCATTTCTACTTAAGGGTATTCCTCGCCTACTTACTTAAAGGTGTACTTGGGCCACTATCCATTTGAATATCGTCATCTGTATAAAAAGGTAAAGAAAAACAAAATCAAAACAATTCGCAATATCCTATAGATATTGTTATTCAATTCAATTCAATTCAATTAAATACGGGTTTATTCACATGACGTTCTGGCAGCCGAAGCTGAATTACAGGTCATTTACAAGTTTTGATGGCTAAAATACAGCATTATACATGTAACCATGAAATAAAGTCAATGACATATAAAAGGATAAATATACTAGATACATTCATACGCGTAATAGGAAGCATCATTAAACATAAAAATATACAGAATGCAAGAAGCTTATTCTTTTGAATAATAATCATTTGAGTATTTAGTATTATTCCATTTTCTATAATCACATGCAACTTAACGTGTGTAATATTAAGCCTCAAATATATCGTCATTTCTCTCATGGTATGTCTTTAAACGTAATACAACAACAAAGAATAACATCATCTAATAGCGTCTATAAAAAATAAATAACATTGCCCAATTTAAAATTCTTAACTCCACTAGTATGATATATTTCCCATTTTTCTTTTCTTTCTTTATTATTTGGTCCCATAATCATACTGTTGAATCTGAATTAGCTTCTATGAATCAAATATAATACAAATTAACAGATTTACACAGGAAAAAAAGGAGAAGTAAGACAAATGATACCTAATGATACTTTTAATACTAATGATGTTTTTTGTTCTGACTTGATGTCTTAAAAGCGTAGATGGCCTACTGTTTATGGGTTTATAAGGTTTATGATATGTGGGCCTAAAGTATGTTTTGTAAAAAAAAGGTTGAGGGTAGTCATTGTAATTACATGATAAACGATTCGATCATCTTACATTTTCTATGTGGTGATCTCTTGCATCTCTTCCACAAGAGTACAGATATGATGACAACCACCACCACAATCAACACCACCAATGCCGAAACTGCTGCGGCTACTAATGCCGATGGTGATACTAAAAAGAGAATTCAATTATAAGACGGTATAGTATTTGATTGTCTTTAAAGCCTATCTGCACTAGTTTTGCCAGGAGGGATTATACCTTCCTGCAGGGTCACTGACTGGTGGTTATCTCTCCAAATCAGCTCTCAATAAACATAAGAAAAAGAGTACCATGGGGGACCAATGGTCACCGATTTGGCACTGTTTGGTATATAGAGGGCGCAAGTTGCGTAAGTAGTGCAGTGCATGGGGTTTTCATTATCATTTTACGAAACAGAAGTGTCAACCATGTGGGATTATTAATGCCTGTAAAACTGAATGTATATTGCCATGACTACGTAGGAATAAACTAGTGTGACGGAGATAATATAATTAAAGGAAAAATCGAACCTTAAAGTGACTCGGTAACATTGTTGAAAGTTCATGAACAATGTGTGTAATTTGTGTACGAAATGTTACTTATTATATTTCTTCTACTGACTTAAATACTAACCCTCTAACATGCGAACAATCCTGAAAAAATTCTCAATCTAAAAAGATATTTATGGTTTTTATTGAACGTGTTACTGTACGACACCCTCTAACAGTAAATTCTCCCAACCATTTTCGAATTTTCCTTATTTTCTTAAACTACCTTATTATCGGTCCGATTTATTTCGAACTTTCGAACCTATTACAAAAGTTGGGTTACATTTTAAGCTTTTGTTAGGATATTTTTCGTTAATTGGAAGACTCTTACCACCAGGGGGAACCTTGATGATCCCAACAGTCACGGATGCCATTCCGCCGACTGCCTGGCCCTCAGCGATGCAGGTGAAGTAGTATTCTTGATCGGACTGAAATTCAGAAACCGCTAATATCACAGTTAGTTTTTGATCCACAGTTCCCTCTCGTTTTCCCTCGGTAGTTATTAAGGATGTACATTTCAGTGAGTCCTGCGGGGTGTTATTATCGACCCAGATCATGTCAACTTGTGGTTTAGCGCCCTCAACGAAGCAATCTAGCTGCACATGGCGTTGGTCAGGTATGGTCTTGATCATACAGCTTGCCTTTGGATTGTACGTCACATCCACAGATACACGAGTGTTGCTTCCACATTGGTGAACCCTAACGAGAGGCTTGATTGCTTGAACTGTAAAAGGGAATATAATACAATATCAATTATTATTACCATTTAAGTAACCAACAAAATAAATCTTAAAGACGACCTATCAAAACGTCAAACTAACACTGTTTTTAAAAATACGTGATATTAGTTAGGGCACATTACGACCGAGCATATCTTTTTAGAGAAAATAACAGATCTTGAAGGATTTTTCAATATAATGTCGCCAATGAAAACGGAAGAAAACCTGTAAAGTTACAAATTTGTCCTGCTTTTGGGCAAGCAGGAAAGATTTGCACTACATTATATGACCTGTGTCCTCGGACAATTGCAAGAAAAGTGCATAGTTCTTCACAAAGGCCCGTATGAATTTATCGCCGACCTAAAGCTACGGTCACAAAGTTTCGTACGAACGATGCGTTCGTAAGAATTTCCCTTTTCATACGAATTCCAGAGTTCGTAGAGATTCGTAAATAGGGCATAGTTTATAACGTCCTTCTAATGGAGTTCTTACGAACGCCGTTTAATTTTTCGTTTTTTCCGTTAGAATGCCTTACAATCTTCTTTCGTCAGAAATACGACCATCTTATGAGATTTTGTTCGCGCAAGATTGTCGTAGGTGTAACTGACGGCATTCTCAAGTCTTTCGTATGAAGTTCTTACGATTTTGGGGTATATTTTGTCTAAATTGCAAAAAAAGCGCTGCATAAATTGCATTAATTGTGTACGTTTACCTTACAAACACCTTACGAACGAAGATTCTAATGGCCTACTTACGAACGACTCTTGGCGTTCTTACAAACGCCGTTAGAGCCATACGAACGCCTTTAGAGCCCTCTATGAACAACTTAGGGCGTCCTTACGATCATTGGAAGAATGTTAAGGCTTCTAGAATTGTCTCTCTATACGAAGTTAGTTGCGTGGTTCTTACGATGTTATTATGACGTTCGTACGACCGTCTTGAACACAATCTTGGGCAAGACCATCGATCAGTTTGTGACTTACGAACAGTCTTCGAAGGGTCTACGATTTCAAGCTGATTTCGTACGGCCTTCTTAAGAAGATCTTACGAAATGGTCTGAAAGTCGTTCAAACGGCGTTCGCAGCAGTTCTTAAACGAACTGCTACGATCGCCGTACGAACGATTTCAGAATATTTCGTAAAGCTTCGGTACTCAGGTCAATAATACACACCTGTCACTGTAACGTTGGTATAATTGCGAAACATTTGACCTGTTTCAAAGTCAGAAACTTCACAGATGTATCTGCCCTCGTCCTCCACGCTGACGTCATTTATGATCAGAGAATAGTCGTTAGTAATGTTATAGCGCCCATCTTTGTACCCCGGACCACTCCTTTCTCCGACCTGGTAGTGTCGATCGAGAACAACTAGCAGATCACTGGATGACGAATCGCTCACGAATCTCCAATATACAGCATATGCTTTACGTTCGTAAGCACATTTCAGTAGTGCTTCTTCGCCAGATGTAACAGTAATTTCCGGAATGGTTTCAACAACCGGGACGATGGATGCTTCTCGACCTAAGGGGACATGAAAGGATATTTTTGGCGACTTTCTCCTAGAATACCGACTTTTTCTTGAGTTTTCCATCATCAGTTACACTGTCGCTCATAAAGTTGGAATATTTTTGTTTTACCCCAATAAATATAAAATTATTTTGACAAACATTAATTCTTAATAGATATAGAAAGTAGTATACATTCTCAGATTTTATTGAATAATAATTTGCCAGTGTTTGTTTTGCGTCACTGCTAAAAGCTTGTGTATGCTACTATGATTATCTAGGGGACCTACGCCCTTTAGTAATAAATGTCAGTAATGAGGATTAATGCCCCACAAAAGGGCACTAATAATATGGCACATCAACACAGTTTTGATCCTCGGGCCTCACAGTTACGAGGCCATTGCTTTGCCACTGAACCACGTAGTTGTTTTAGTTGCGACATTTGAGACATACAAATAATTAACATATTTCAGGGGCGGATCTAGGGGAGCACAGGGGGCACGTGCCCCCCCCCCCCTCCCCCGGCCCTCTAAAAATAGTGCTCACTACCCCCCCCCCCCCCCCCCCCCCAATGAGCGAATTTTCTGCCGGAGCAACAACAACAAAAAATAGTGCTCACTACCCCCCTCCCTAAGAAATCCTGGATCCGCGCCTGTATGTATATTATATCAACTACGAAACGGAAAGCAAGAGAGCGTAGCGAGCGAACTTTGGGGGAAATTAAAGAAAGAACGGGATCTTCACACATTTTAAAAGGGGCAATGAACGGAAGTGAAAAGGAAAACTTCTCGTGTCTAGAATTAAAAAAAATCAATAATATGATAACGTGAATACAATTCATGACAATGTTCGTAAGAGGATATTTCAACGATCCCGCCCGTTTATAATTCTCGATTACCATGATGTCAAGGAACTGTTTTTGATTGCAGTCAAATAGAAGTTTGTAAAATGCAATCAGACTTACCTTGTATAAGCAGGCTAAGCAAGCCTAGTAAACAAAATAGCTTAGGACTCATTTTGTAATCTTTCCTTCGCAAATGTTTCCAGTCCGTGCGCTTTGGCTGTATATGTCTACATTCGTAAAGTGGCAAAGTTGCTTTTCGCCAAAAATCCATGCGAGTTAACGAGCGGTTGTTTGTTTAAAAACTGTGTACGATCAATAAATGGCACCCAGTTTGAATAATATCATGAGTAAATGTTGACTGTTCATGTTTACATGCAACTCGCAAATAGCACAAAGTGCGTTCATCAGGGATCATAAATTGAATAAATATAGCCTATATTCAATACTACCTCATGGCAAAACAGTATTTAGATCTAACCAGTCATAACCAGGCGCCCTTAATAAGTACGAAAATTAAATAACTCACACCTTAAAACGTCTTCAGTGGAAATTTATGAAATTGGGTACCGCTCTTTTGTTTTTATCAGGCACATTTTAGGTACCTTATTCGCGGTCAGTGTATTTTTTTTTATTACATTTATTTATTTGTCACTAATTAAGGGCGTCCAGCAATTGGGGCAGCTGACAGGCAAAACCCTTTACTTAGAACGTCTGACAATACTCATTTATGATCTAATAAGAGTCATGATTCATTTATTTAAAATCAGGTTTGATCCACTAGTGAGCACTAATTTTTGTTGAGGCCCTCGAAAACAAAATCGCAGCCCCCCCCCCCCTTGAGCGCCAGGGGAGGGGGCCCATCTAAAAAAAGGGTAAAATTAACGTGTTTGTACACGTTTTTCAACAGGGGGGGGGGGGTGGGGGTCAGGCTCCCCTCGTTCCACCACTGCTTGCAGGCACCTTCACCCCTTAAATTGTCTGGCAGTGCCAATGGAAGACGAGGTTGTGCTGAACGTTTTCCACCACGTTTGGTCCAGTCGCCTTTTCCGCTAAAATCTAGCTAAATTTTGGGACCCCTTTGAATTTGGCCCTATAGGAGGCCCTCCTGGCCGCCCGATCGCTTTTTGCACGGCAGACGTCAATTTCATGACTATCGTTTGTTTATGGATCATTATTGCGTTCCTGAAAATGAGTTTTTCCCTTTTTTGCTATGTAGGCCTACGCCCACTTTTAGGTTACCGACCTTTTAGCCGATCACGGAAAATGTTGCATGTTGTGTATACGCCCCTTCGAGATCGCAATACGATCTTCGCTTTACCATCGCGGAGGGCGCTGTGAAGAAAACAATTCCAATTATCCTTATTTATCTATCAAGGAAGTGAAGAAATGGCGTCGAAAAGGTCCTAATTTTGTTGGGTAAGCCATTATATATGTTGTTTCTTTATTCCTTTGATATGTATTTTGTATTATTAACATAAGAAAGGGATGTCAATGGTAGGTTACTGCGTAATTTGGGCTTTGATGTCGTTGCAATGCCACGTCGAGCGAAAACAAATTTTTTATTACAGTCCCATATGTTGCGATTAGCGTTGGATATAGTTCACGTAATTATCTTCATTGGCATTGCATTGTTAATTGTAGGGAGCACTCCAGCAAAGCATAGAGAGTCAATGCTAATGCGTTTTGACCTCTACTCTAGCACTGCACTACATGTTGATAGGCAGCATTTTAATACATGAATAGTCATTACACTCATGACACACAGATGCACACAATCATGCCGATGCGGCTGACCCGCAAGATTTTTCAGATTCGGGTAGCGGGACCGCCGATTACATCGCTAAAATGTGATATTTAAGGATATATTTGCCATTGCAAATGTGGTTCTTACTTACTTTACTTTAATACATGATGTTGTAGGTCTAAGCCTGTTCATCGATCCAGGATTCTTCCATGATTACTGCTATTTGTGGAGGGAGGAGGTTGTGTAATTAACATGAGACAATAGACAACACCTAGACCGGCTCATACAAAAGGCTTACATTCTTTGACCAGTGACTATCAAGTCTATTCTTAAATGAGTTTACCGACCCAGTGACTATGGCATGTTATGGTATGTGTGGGATATATGTGATATGCTATTATGCAATGTATTTTAAAGGGATTTAACCATGAATCCAACGGACCGGACGAAAACTGTCGCCGGTCGATTACCCCCTCCTTTACTATAGCGCAGCTTTTAATGATGTAATACGGGGTCCAGACAACTCGCCACAAAGACAACCCGCCCCAAGACAACCCGCAACAATACCCTGGACATCTCGCCACAATACCCTGGACAACTCGCCACACTTTTTTCCCCTCATGATTTCTAGATCTAAAATCCCTCATCTTCATGATCTTAGATGAAATTGTCATTTTATGTATTCATTATTCTTTTATAAACACAGTCATGACAGGAAACATGGAAATTGTGAGTATTTTGAGAGCTTTCCTAAAGAATAAAGATGATTTTCCTTGCGCTTGCAACAAGACCCGCAACAAGAATCTATTTTGGACTGTGCGAAATTAACCTAGAAAATATAGAAATAAACCATATTTCAATTTTATTTCGCGGGTCAACTGCCTCCTCCCCAATCAGGACGCCAGTGCTTCCAGTACCCTTCCATGAATTCCTACCATTAAAAATTATCAGAAAGGAAAAAGGACATGTACAAAGGATAAAGGGGGCACTTTAGGGGAACCTGGAAAAGTAGGGGCACAGTGTCCCCCCCCCCCCCCAATGAAGAATGCCGCCTCTGACGAAACTAACCCAGAAAATCTAGAAATAAATCACATTTCAATTTTATTTCGCGGGTCAAATAACCCCCCCCCCCCCCCCCCCATCAGTACACCAGTGCTTCCAGTATCCTACCATTAAACAATTTCTGAGACAGAAAAATGCAGCTGCTATAGACCTCTAGATCTAAATACCAAGTTATCCCAATGATCTGGCGGTCGTACGCCTTCGGTTTGTCAAAAATATATTATTGTTGCAAGGGAAATCAGCTTTATTCTTTATTCTTTGTAATGACTGTGTTTATAAAAGCACGATGAGGGATTTTAGATCTAGAAATCATGAGGGGAAAAAAGTGTGGCGAGTTGTCCGAAAAGGCACCCCACCCTGGACAACTCGCCTGTGGCGAGTTGTCCAGGGTATTGTGGCGAGATGTCCAGGGTATTGTGGCGGGTTGTCTTGGGGCGGGTTGTCTTTGTGGCGAGTTGTCTGGAATTCTGTAATACACAGCAAGGAAAGTAATGCAGCTACATGTATGTGTGGTAGTCAATAGGGAGCGCGCGCCGTGCGTTCGCTCTCTAATCTATAGCACATGCTCGTAGTTGGACGAAAAAATGAGACCGAGCGGTCAGAGTACGTAATCCCCCGCACGGCCGAAAACTACACCTGCAGGTACTGTGATCAGAAATTGGAATCTAAACTAAAAAGAGATACGGCGCTATAGTATCCGGCTGCAGTGATATAATACGTGCGGTGGGATACTTTTTTGCTTGCGATACTCAAAAAATCTGACTCTAAGTCTGAAAAATATTTGAAATACAGCTCATTTCATGGTACCCATATTCCTTACAAACACTTGAAGATATTCAATTTTTCAGATTCGGGTACCGGGACCGCCGATTACATTGCTAAAATGTGATATTTAAGGATACATTTTCCATTGCTAATGTGGTTCTCCAGTGACTCTGGCATGTTATTGTATATGTATGATACGTGCTATGCTTTTATGCAATGTAACAGACCAGCCAAAAACTGCAACCGGTCGAAAACTCCCTCCTTTACTCTAGATGTACCTTTTTTGCCTCAATCTCAACTTTCCTCTTTTCTGTTGATTGACAGGATTTCAGAACCGGTCTATTGGTAGGGTCTCTGATCGTGCACTCGGTTTTGTGTGCTAAAATTTAAACCCTTGCCATAGAAATTGCACACATCCCTATGCAGTCTACAGTGTACATGCGTTGCATACTCATGCAGAATTGGTCAATGTTTTTATCACCAAATTGAGATTAAAACTTTTTTCTTTGTGGTCCTAAAGGCGATGCACAAGAAATGAGTCATCAAATATTGCATACAGCAGGCTTCTAGGAATATTGCCAGCTGAGATTAAGATTTTTTTAGGTGGCTGGCAGAAGAAATAACTTATTAACAATTTTTTTTTTTTTTTCTCCCCCAGATGTTTTTCCTTACCAAAGCTGAAGCAGTACAATGGATCTGAGTCTGGCAAAAGGGAAGAAAATAATGAAAGACGAACCCCAGGATGAACTTAAAAAGGAGGGTCTGACCCTGAATGATGGCGCCAAATCCAAACCACTCAAAACCAAATGTGCTAAAGCAGAAAAGGTAACAATCTGCCTAACGTTACAAGGGAAGTCCAGCCAGATATTATCTTGTGTTTAATAAAAGCAGAACAATTAGGGGAAAAATCTGACATGTTTCTCTAATTTGTTTGGCTTTTATTAAAACCAACTCAATATCAGGGTGGAATTCTCCTTTAAGCCAATATCAAACCCTGCCTGAGTGCACAAATTAACTCCCAACAATTTATCGATGGATACATATCTGGATTCTGAACATATCAAAATAATTCCATACCTGAATGAGAAAAAAAAGAATGTCTTTATTGATATACTCGCAAGTTCATGTCTTCTTTTTTCCACATACATGTATTCATGACATGTAACAAGAAAAATGTTATAAAATGGAAAGATTGACACTTGGTCTTTCATACATGGGGTCACTAAGTTAAGCTAACTTAACTTTAGTCACCTTTGAGAATACAGTCTGTGACATGCTATTGCTGGTTCATACATGTAGGTGACTTTTGCTAAGGAGCGAAAAGGTAAACCTGTGAAAGTATGTTATCGATGAACATTTACAACTTTTGTACAGAAACAGTGAATAACTGTATCGTAGGTTTGTTGACGTATAGTTATTCTTTTTCTTTAATTTGATAAAAAGATGAAACCCAGCTTTGCCTTATGTCTGAACGGACAAAATGTTGATACACATTTGCCATTCTTGACCCATGGATAACAAATGGGGACTTGGCAGGACTGAAAATTCTGAAATCTTTAAGCCTTTCTGGCAACTTGATTAAATCTAGTGTAAGAAGGATTGCCAAGTAGCTAATCAAACCAAGAAATTGATAATCTTTTAAAAGCCTTTGTTTTTTTAGCAAAGCGTTCTTCATTTATTGGCAGGCAAGCAAATGTGCCTAGTGTCGATAAGCTCTGGTGGAAAATAGGCTAACAACATATGATTCGGCAGTGTAATTTTGCGAATCTCCCTTTTTTCATTTTCAGATGGAGGAAAGCAGAGTGTCAAAGGGTAACAAGCATCTTTCCTCATTCAACTACCTCATTAAAAACTCTGATCAGTACTTTACCTCAAGGCGGGTCATCATGGTGCCCTTTGTCTGTGAAGAGTGCGGTGAAGCCTTTGAGAGCATCTCGGAGCTTGTGCTCCACTTCCGGAGCCATTTCAACGGCAGTCTTCACGAGTGCTCGGTGTGCCTGACTCCGTTCAGCAGCAAGCATGCTCTTAAGAAGCACATGGTGGCACATAGCGCAGGTGACACCAAAGCTAGCAGACACTCGGGGAGTAAGGATAAGGGGAACAATCTGCAGGAGAATGGGGGAGATGGTGAAGAAGAGGGTGTAGGGTTGTTCAGGTGTGTCCACTGCAGGAAGGTCTTTGAGAGCGAGACGCACCTTGAGGATCATGCCGTCGAACATCAGATCCAGGAGCTGCACACGTGCGAAGAGTGCGGCAGGTGCTACCAACAGAAGCACCTCCTGGACAACCACATCAAGATGCACCACGTTGAGCTGTGGACGTGTGAGGAATGCGGAAAGAGCTTTGAGAACAAGAAGCGACTGATGGTCCATTACGAGATGCACAGCGGCATCCAGGCCGAGAAGCGGCACAAGTGCGACGAGTGCGGGAAGGCCTTCGTTGCAAAGTCAAAGCTTCTGCGGCACATGCGTGTTCACACGGGCGAGCGCCCTTTCCGTTGCGACGTCTGCGGCAGGGGATTCAACGACAGGTCCAATCTTTTCATTCACGCTCGCGTCCACACGGGCGAGAAACCCTACACCTGCACGCTCTGCGGGAAGTCTTTCACGGGGAAGAACGACTTGAACAGGCACGAGATGATCCACACGGGAACCAGACCGCACACATGCAAACAGTGTGGGAAAGGATTCCGCGAGAGTTCAAAACTGAAGCGCCACATCAAGACTCACATTTTACATGACTCAATGCACAAACCCAACATGTGTCCTACGTGTGGAAAGGGATTCCGTGAGAAGTCAAAACTTAAGAGGCATGTTAAGATACACGAAAGAGCTATTAAAAGCTGAGTATGTTTAAACATGTTACGACAGTGCTTCTATTCATTCCAATCTGGTGTATTACGTCACTGCAACATTCAGATAAACATTTTTTTGTAATGTCAGAAAGCCATGTTCGTTGAATTCCATGCATTTCATGCTATTTACAATATGTAAACAGCAAAATTATTTTTTTGTTAACCAGACTGGTAAGGCTTCAATAGTGCCTTTAGTTTCATTTGGCATCTTAGTGAAATGTGCTATATGTCTTTCTTGCAACTTCTTAACACTCACAGTGCCATCTTTTTTGCAAAAGTATGTCATAATGAGAGACGCGTTTCTACAGGATTGAAGAAAAAAAAATGATTTTCATACTTTTCTGGACTCCTCCAGGAATGCTCTTCTGTAGAAAGTCAATGTAATCAGATTAAATCTGACTCTTAATCATGGAATAGCGTACTGGAAACCAGAAGTGATTCTTTCTCTGCATGCACACCTTCCCATTTCTCTAGAAATGTTTGCGCACTCTAGCGTTATCATATCTAGGTCATGGGACAAAGTGCACTCTTTTGAGACATGCAGTATACAAGCTAAAGTCTATTAACCTATTGTCTGCCGGAACTGGGCAGTCCCTGTGTTAAGTCTATGGGGATGAGACAATTTGGTAGTCAACAGGTTAAATACACTCCTGTAGAAACAACCTGGTAACAACATCTAGGATAACTAGTGACAATGTGACAGGGCTTTATCATGGTTTGTTTTGCAAAATTTCTTCTGGATAAAACAAGAGTTCCACAAAATTGAACTTAAAATATAAACCTAATTTCAAAGTCATTCAGAAACACATCAATCTCAATCTTTGTCCAGAAGCACTAGATTCAAATTGTAGTGGTTAGAAGTAAGTGTGAATTTTCACTACAAAATTAAATGATTGCTTTTCTGCTGACAAAGTGTCAGAAAGAATGTTTCTATTTTGTAACCTTAATTGAAAAGAAAATGTTCTGTTTACTGTCTATTCATGTTCCATGCAAAGCATTCCATACATTTTGAGTTGGAACTTGGAACTCTCACTAAAAACATGACGGACAAAGAAAGAGGACAAAATATACAGTTCCTCATTCTACCCTCAACAGTTGCTGTGGTAGACAAAGGAACATCCCTTCACTGCTATTATGTAAAAATGTGTAGAACATGATGTCTGGTCGGTGTGTTTCAAACCATCAGATCATCTTATTCATGTGACAGTTTGCTAGTAAATGTAAAGAAGAAGAAGTGGATGGAGAGAGTGTCATCATGGCACCAAAGTCAGTAAATCCATTGTAAGAGGGGAAATACTGACTTGAATAAATGATGATGATGATGATGGTGACCTGAATGTTCATGTATGCATATCTTATCCTTCAACAACTGTTCCCAGGATAGATTGGAAATCACCTTGATTGTAAATACCTAAATTTGCTCCATTCCCAAGTGTTCTTTTCTTTCTCTTTGTAAGTGTTTCTGCAAAATCATTAAAACAATGGGATGAAGCAGGGCAAATTCAGTTTTTAGCGCTGGTGTGGTTACTACGCCATTGTTTGGCGCAAAATTGTTTGGAACCAGCAACCTTGATAACTAGGCCAGTGTGACATTGGTATTCTATTATAATTACCTGTACATGATTTTTTGTGTAACCTGTTGATGTGATTGGACATACAGTGCGTCCCGGAAAAAACGAAACCGAGATTCATCAATGTTTTATCATAACTTTATCACAATTATAATTGATAAATGACACATATTTATGAAGCTTAGATCCTCTTCTAACAAAAGACTTAACTCTGTTTCGTTGACAATCAGCCGTAGACGAAAGACTTCATGCATGGCTGATTGTCAACAAAACAGAGTTAAGTCTTTTGTCAATTCTGCTTGTTGCTACGACAGTCAGCCAGTGAAAACGAATTATGGAAATGCAAGCACTATTTCAAACATACAGAACGTTGTCTTTCCTTGCTCATTTTTTCTGATTGAGGTGTCATATGAAAGGCCAGAAACTCAACTTTCTAGACATGTGACTTTTTCTTTGAAATTCAGATACAGTCCGCCAAATGACTTTTTGGTCTCCTCTCTTCAAATTCATTTTAATCACTCATGCGTGAAATATGCATCATATGAGTTGCATTCAATGAAAGAAGAGGATTTAAGCTTTCCAAATATGTGTCATTTATTAATTATAAATGTGACTATATTATGATAAAACATCGATAATTCTCGGTTTCGATTTTCCTGGGACGCACTGTATAATCAACTTTGTCATGTAACATTCAGTTTCTATAGACTACTGTACACCCTAAGTTATCTCAGACTTAATATTTAACAGGTTAAAGCGATACTGAACTGATGAACTTTCTGCCTTCGTGTACTGTTTATTGCACATCGCCATCTCATGCTTAACTTGCCAACAAGGCGTAACCTAATACCTAATTTCTTTTCCACATAAATACCGAGAATTGTTGCCATTTGCTTATGCCTTGCAAAGGCCAAGATCTACGAATAGCACACAATGGTGTACAGAAAGATTACAATAAATAGCAGTTTTTTTTTATAGATCTAGTCGAAACGAGCCATTTGTTGATTTTTGTACTGCTATAGTTACCAAAGCTTTGAAAATGTATTTGAATTAAAACCTAAATTTGTACAGTTGTTGTGTAGGATTGATTAAAAGTACATTACAATATGACGTTATGATAATTTTTTAATCTTGAATTATTTTCTGGCAGGAATTTTGGCTACATTGTGGTCATGGGCCTAAAAAGTGTATTTTTTATTTTATTTATGTGATTGAGAGATTTAAACCTTTATAACGAAAGTGAGCACAAATTATCGCGGGATGCTCATTGTATCCAAACTTCAAAATAGTGACAAGTGGACAAAGGATTATGTGCACAAAAAAACAAAAACAATTCCCTATAGTGGTATTAGTGGTGACCTCATGATGATTTATTCTTGTTTAGTTGTAAGACTCCAGCATTCCAATAACATGTTTGTTTGAATTAAATTGACACATTATTGTTATATATTTGGAGGGAAGGGGAATTAATAGAACTGTTATTTGTTAGTAATGTGTAATATGAAATTGCAATTGAAATTATTGAATGTTAGTTGGTTTTAAAAGTTGGTTTTGATTGTTTGTTTTATCTTGACTGCTCAGAAAGCATGGTATGGTTGTAAGCAAGCAATTAAGGTACCGACAGCTTTGGAGGGACTTGGTTATGAGGATTATTGTATCGCCAAAGGGCATTAGCGCATTGACTTGGTTTCAAACCCGGGACCTCCCGGTTGTGAGACCACTGCTCTACCACTGAGTCATTATGCCTCGTAATAATGTTGTAATTTGAGAAAAGAGAGTAGTGTAGACCCTATTCAATGTTTGTTTTGAATGAAGAATTGGTTATCTTGATGGATTTACAGAATCATAGGGTGCCTGTTCAATGTTCAGACTCTTCAGAAGATATTTTGCCCTGTTCAGACTATATTAAATTTGTTCAAAACTCATTTAACAAAACGTATAAGGATTCATTGTATAGTGAAAGGGGCGTTCAGACTAGATGCCAACATAATATCAAGAAATACCATTACAGAAATAGTTATGAAGAGGTCGCTATGCCAGTGCTTTCTTTGTTTATTAGACGTCAATGGAACTCCGGGGTGTGGGTTCATTTAGACTTAGATGAAATTTATTTGAATCTTCTTGATGCACCTTGTGACCTTAGGGTGTCAAGGGAATAGTTACAACTAATATTGTAAATGATTTCGATTATGTTTCATTCTCTGTTTAAACAATTTGTTGATGTATATTTATTATCTACCTATTTTCTAGATCAAACAAGTGTCTTATTTATGTTTTACGGTTATTAATTCATGGGAACTAATTGGTGCTTATAGTGTATGAAATATCAAATGGTGCTTTAGAACTAATCTCAGCTTGAACACGTTAGCTACAAAAAATATAGTTTATAATGATTTATATAATTTAAATAGAGATGTTATTTACAAATCATAGTGATATTAGTATTATCTTTAGTATGAAAGTACTGTTTTTGAAATGTTATTCTATTGTAATCTATGTTTATTTAGTTTTTAGCATAACAAAGTAACCTTGATTGAAATGATTCCAATATTTTATGAAATAACAATTTTACCTAAGAAATAATGATATACTAATGTAGTCAATTACCATTGGCATTATTCTGGTAATAAAAGTATGAGTACTGAATAATTTTGAACTTCCCCCAAGTTTGTGTTTTGTGTTTATGTTTTCCCCCATCAGTTATGATTATTGTTCAGAATCTTATCATGGACCACTGATTTTAGAATCATTATTCCAATAACAGATGAGTGGAATAATGATTCAGATTTGCAGATTGGGAAATGTGCTACAGATGGAGTGGAGAGAGAGAGAGAGAGAGAGGGAGAGAATAGATAGAGAGGGGGAGGGGGGTGGGTGTCTCAAAATGAAGAAAGGAAGACAGAGAGAGAGAGAGAGAAAAAGAAAAACAATAAAGTTATCGAAAGGGAAAGAGACAGGAAAAGGGCCCAAGCCAGAACATAATAAAGATGGACTGGTGAAGAGAATTAGACATTGAGAGAGGGAAGGGCAGTTATCGCATTTTTTAAAGAGAGTGAAAGAAAATAAAGAGCGTACTGAGATGTATACAAAAACAATTTAATAATTAGAAATAATGATCCTCAGTACAAGAGGAAATTTTTTACAAATGTTCAGCCTTAGGGCTTGTTAAGAAACGACCTTATTTGACTTATAAATTGTTGTGCGTGAAAATATGCGCATCCTAAAAAAGGCGAACAGAGTATGGCCAACCCGATTTCAGTTGGTCATAACTTGGCGCTACCATAAATTAATGGCTCTGGGTATTTCGCCTTTTAGCGCCATCTCTTGTCAAATGGATGCCAACCTGAAATCCGCTGCTGTTTGGTTTTGAGTGATGTTAAAGACAAAGGGCAAAGCGTGGCTCGTGAAGAAAATTGTTTAGTCCAGGGTTTGATTTTGCAGTTATTGTAAACAGTTGTCATGGAAATATGATCACCGAAACATATTTCTTATAATCACACTATCATCAGTATCACTAGCATAACCGTCAACATCACCATCACCTGTCATTATTGTCATCCTCACTGGTATCTTTGTAATGACGTCATCAACCTCATCGTTACGAATATTTACTTTACTATGCATCAATTTCACCATCTTCACCATCATCAGCATCATCATTACCGTCATCATCATCATCTCAATACCAGCAACATCGTTACCGTCATTATCATCTTCATTACCATCATGGGCATCATCCTCCTCATCATTGTCATCACCAACATCAACGTCATCAGCATTACCCGTTCCCCTCATTTTTCTTCCTTCTTCTGGTCTTCCTCTTCATCATCATCATTGTCATATATCATATAGAAAAAGAAAAGAAAAAGATTCTGAGAAATCGAGGGTTTAATAGGGGAACCTTGGTTTACAGGGTTACAAGTTCACTTTGGTAGCTCAATTGCACTTGAAAAATTATAATCGATGAAGACGACAATAATAAAACACCAACCGAACGAAACTCTAGACCAATAAAATGATACAAAAATAGCTACTAATATATCTACAAAATCAATTTGTTTGAAATAATCTACGCATTTTGCTACAATCTCAAAAGGGAAGACATTTTTGGGGTACACTCTATGATATAAATACGACACTTAAATGTAATAATGACATTCTGAAACTCAGGGATACATATTTTGGCATGTCATTATTGTTGAAAAGCGGAAAGATTGCATTGTTATGTAAACTATCCTTTCTGAAATAGGTGTAGACTGACATCAATTTTTTTTTTTGCAATTACCAATTGCTTGCGAAGCAGAGAGAATCTATAGAATCATTATATATCAGGTTTCACATTTGTGAAAGAAAAGTAAGGAAACAAAAACAATTTAGAAAAGTTTGGGTAGGGTGGGAAAAATATATCGGCATTTCAGCGGACAAGTAGAGGGTGTCACGGTAAAGGCATCGGGATTGTGTTCAATTCAAGTATTGGATGACAACATCAGGAAGGCTAGTGCGCATGTGCAGATTTTCGCTGGTTTCTAGCCAGTCGAGCCTTGGCAGAAATTACACTAGAAAATGAAGAGAGAAAGAGAACAGCATTGATGGAATTGACTGCCGATAAATATATTATACATTCTTGTGTTTTCTTCTGCTATAACTTAATTCACATTTTATACCTCATTTACTCATTCATGTGTCATCATGTTCGTCAATGATAGCAAATTACAAATCAGCTTGAATCACACATTCTTCAAAAGAGAGATATCAT